ATGTTATCAAAATTAGGGGCGGTACTGTCAATTTACCTTAACAAAATCGACATATATTCGCGTTTTATATCGGTTGCATAAACAAGGACCCCCCCCCCCCCCCCCCCAAAAAAAAAAAAAAAAAAAAAAAAAAAAAAAATAATAAATAAGTCCCTTCTAAATTATTTTAGATTAATTAAATACTAAAAAACTATAAGAGGTAAGAATAAAATGGTCAAATTCATAAAAAAGGAGAAGGAGAAAGGCGATTGAAATAAATAAAAATATTCATATTACATAGCTTGCGTTTTCCCTATATTTATTTATAGCTCAAACATTTTGGTAGAAATTATGCTGACAAGTTCCGAATTGGTTAGGAAAAAAACCTGCATAATACAAAATAATTATACATTGTATATTTAATAAATAATAATTTTAATCATTCCACTGAGATCGCTAATGGTATATATATGAAATAACCACAGTTGGCAATAATTGCATAACACGACCGCGACAATCACTGACTAATGTGTTAATCAAATTAATTACAATTAAAAACCAATTGTTCAGAGAACAATTGAAGGTCTTTCCACCCAGAAAGATCTATTTTGATATAAAAATATTAAAATTCGGTTTAAAATGTCATTTCCAGCGTCAAATGATATTGTACACTGATTCCAAAAATATATGGTTTCTATACATTTTTTTTTAAAAGGGAGCTAATTTGTTACTTCCGGTTTGAAAAATGTTACTTCCGGTAAATCTTGAATGTTTACGTGACACTGATTCGAAAAATATATGGTTCTATATACTTTTATATTAAATAAGTACAAAAAATAGCTACTTCCGGTTTAAACAATGTCACTTCCGGTTGGATTTTTCAAGGTCAAATGGCTTGCAACCTAATGCAAATAGTCCCATGGCTTTATCATGTATACATATGAGGAAAAAGCAAAGGTCAAAATCTAGAACGTCAAATTTACCTATGACCTTGAGCTCAATTTCAAGGTCATAAACCAAGGACCTCAAATCAAAAGACCCTGGTCTTAGTTGTATATGGTTAATGAGTTATATCACCATACGTGTATTTTTAAATACAAGAGGGGAGAAAACTCTAATTTAATGTTAGCGCACCCTTTAAACCAAAATGTATGTGTAACGACATGTCGCAACTAACAATTTAGTAATAATATGTTGTCGATAACCTATACGATTTTTGAAAAGAAGTGAAAATAAGCCAAAATCAAAATTTAGAATATGACCTTGACCTTTGACCTTGACCAAATTTTCTTTTTTTTGGACCAAGGACCTCAAATCAAAAGACCCTAGGTCTCTATCACTTATGGTTTACCAGTTAGAAATGCATATCACTTATATCAAATGCATAAGGGGAAATAACTCTCATATGGAGTCTCCGGAACGCTTCGGTGAAAACCAAACTCAACATCCTGAAGTTATAGCGAGCAATTTGGTAAAATAAATTTGTCGTAATCTTTTGCGGTTGCGAAGGAGTAGTGGCCACTAGAAAAACAGTGTTTGGGGAGATAACTCTTACAACGTAAAGTATTCGGTTAAGCGGTTGTCAGTTTCAAAAGCGTATAAACTGTTCGATATCATATATCGAATATCTAAGCGACAACTTTATAAAACAACAGTACTACGCAAGAAAAAAATTAGGCGGAAGAAAAAAAAAAAAAATAATAATAATAATCAGAACAAAAGCAATAGGTCTTTCCACGGAAAAGTGGAAAGACCTAATAAAGTCGGCATCAATCTTACACGGCCGCGAATGTGCTATGTAATTAAATAAAGTTATCAAAGTCGGCATCTATCTCATCTTGCACGGAAGAGTTTGTTAATTAAGTCGGTCTACATCATTCGCGGAGTCGGTTAGCAACTTACACGGAATCGCTCCAAAACTTTCACGGAGTCGGTACAAAACATTCGCGGAATCGGTAAAAACATGCACGGATTCTGAAATCTTACACGGTCGTGAAAGTACTATATAAAACTTGTACGGAGTCGGGGGGTCCCATGTGGCTTTCCATAGTATGGCTTTCCATAAAAAAGTGATATTTTAAAGACGATATTATCAAGCAGTGCGGCCGATGGTCTCCCATTGCATATTTATGCTATATTCGTATTTAAGTCATTAACTTTCATTATAGCTCACATATACAGTTTCTTTTACATTATAATACACATTTCCTCCTTTTAGGTTCATTCGCAAGTTGGTTCGTCGGATCTTCAAATCTATATTGGGCACAGAAAAATGCAAAAACAAGATACGGGGGCCCAAACATTGGTCTTCAAAGCAGAGGGGCGTACATACGCTGGTTTGGAAAAAGGGGTATGTTGTGGAATGAACTTAATGCCACAGTCTCGCATACAGTTGACAATTTTTCTCCTCCCGTCATGATAATTATTCAACTTGGTTCCAACGATCGGACAAAAGTTAAAACCATTGAACTAATTCAAAATATTGAAAGGGATATTCTACGTCTGCAGCTACTATTACCTGACACTCGCATCGTGTGGAGCGAAATGTTATTGCGAAGGTATTGGCATGGTGCAAAAGATGGAAAAACTATCGAAAGATCTCGAAAACGAGTTAACTCCGCTATAAAAAGTTATGTCTTGGAGGTCGGACACTGTAATATTCATCATCCTTATATCCGAGCTCGAGAAATGAACTTGTATAGGTTTGACGGAACTCACTTATCCGACATAGGGTATTATATATATTAAACAACATTCAAGGGGGAATTGAAACTTTCCTATCATCGTACAAAATTCGCTGTTTCCCCGAAGTATAATTGGGAAAGGAATTTCTTTGGGATTTTTACGGAGGAAAGGGGGGGGGGGGGGCTTTTTAATGAGTGTGTATAGACCCACTCACGTGGCAAGATTAAGGGGTTATGATCCTTTCCTGTATTGTACGGCGGATCATATTAGTTTTTTTACTTTCCTGCGTTACCGCAAGAAGTTCTGTTGAAACCATCTCATGTATACCATGAGTGGCCGGTTCTGAATTGGTACCAGTTCGAGCTTAACTGTTTTGTGATCTAGAAATTGTTAATCTTCACTCCCCTGACAACCAGGGGGTGATGCGAATATGAGCCGACGTATTTGGGGACCATGGCCCTCGTTCTCTTTAGTATTTAACCTGGAGGAACTTGAGCATCCTTTGTCACCAAAGGTGCACAGACTTGTCAATTAAATCAATTACGTCGGCATTCTGCTATCATGCCAGATCTCGTCATTCGAAATTGAATCTTAAATCAAATATGTCACATAAAACTACACATGGCTTTAAGTTTTTCGTCCTCCCTAATCTAAATTGAAGGAGATTTTGTGTGCAGTGACGGACGGACAGGCAAACAGACAGGACACAGGTGCAAAAGCTGATAGTGTAGATATTGATAAGTTCTTATCTTTCCAACGTCGATATATATGGAAGCATTCACTGTCATAATTCACACCGTGTTTGCACCAAAAAATATGTACATGCAAAGTTTTGCAATAAATATTCTTTTAAGAGTTAGGATCATTAATCTTAATGCAGATTTCATTTGAGTACATGTTCTTACGAAAGAGTTGAATTGTTTTATTCAGCTAAACAAATACATGAAGAATATACAAAAAAAAATCCGTTTAATCATATGTATAAAAATAAGGAGATGTGGTATGATTGTCAATGAGACAACGATCCACCAGAGTTCAAAGGAAGTGAATGTAAGTAATTATAGGCAACCGTACGGCCTTCATCAATGAAAAAACCCATATCGTATAGTCGGCTATAAATATATATGAAAAATGAGAAACAATTCAAACGAGAAAACTAGCTGCCCTAAATGACAACAAAACAATTTACAAAATATGAATAAGATAAACATGAACCAACTAAAACCACTGAACGACAGGCTTCTGACTTTGGACAGGCAAACAGAGAATGTGGCGGGGTTAAACATGTTTGTATACTTGTTATAAGTACTCATACACGTAATTCCTATACCGTTAGTAAAGCGTTTTTTGTATCGATTTTTATGTTACTTTTCTGATAAATATCAGATTGGGAGGGTTGACTGGTCTTGAACTAAAGAATACTAAACGAGAGGTGAAAGATACCAAAGGGATATTCAAACTCATAAGTCGAAAACAAACTAACAATGCCATGGCAAAAAACGAAAAACGACCAAAAGACCAACAACATGCAGTAAACAAAACGCTCTTTCTTAAGCACAAGATTATATACAGTGTGCAACCAAGGAATAATCTGTAGATGTATCTTGTACTATTCCATATCCACTGATTTAACAAGTAGCATGAATTTTTATGAATAACCTAAAGATTTCATATGTTTATACACCAAGATAAGTTCTACTCATTCTGCCATTTATAATTCTAATGTATGCTCAAAGAGAGCAGATACTGCATCTGAGTTGTTGATTTCAGAAAACAGGGTTATCCCCACCACATGCGATTGCGCCTGTACAAAGAGCCACATAAAGTGTCCTCGTTATTATTTTTTTGTCACATCTTACTTAGTGTTTTTTATTGTTAAATTTTTTTTTTTTTTTTTTTTTTGGGGGGGGGGGGGTCGTATGTATGGAAATGTGGGGTAGGTTATGGATCTTTTGTAGTCTCTGTTGCGTTTTAGAGTCTGTACAATTTAGAGTTTTTCGTATTGTATACACACAGGTCTATTTTTGAAGACAATATGACCTCTGATGTGTTTTTGGTTTTATACGTGTTGTTGGGTTTCTGTCTCATTGACGTATGTCCAATATCTCCTGTTATATTTTAGTCGTTGATGTACGTTTAGCCAATTTTCAATTTTAGTTCTTGAAAAGAATTGTCACGAAGTTTTATTTTCTTATCAAAATTGGTTATATCTAATTAGATGTCAATTCAGTCGGAACGCCATTTAACATTATTCACGTCATGGATAAACAATACGAGATTTTCTTCACGCACGAAATACGTTCCCCATCGAACTATTTTTTTGCTGAAGGGTCTTAGCGGAAGAATAAGAAAGTATATATAAACTAATTTTATTTACCCGTATTCAGAAATGTTAAGTATAGTAAAGATGAAGTATCTTGTGTGCTGCCTGATTTTTGGTGTAGTTGCGGGTGAGTTCATTTTATATTCTGTTTATATGCTAATCGTGCAGGTGTGTTCATTTTATATTCTGTTCATATGCTATGCATATAGGTGTGTTCATTATATATTATGTGCATATGTTGTGCGCTACATTACACTCAACGAATCAAAGACATTGTGTGTTTTTAACTGTCTTTGTTAGCTATTGTCAAACAATTTAGTGAGGTAGAATTTTTAATTATGTAATTCATTATCTTGCTTTATATACATTAACAAGTCTTCGCCTTATCTTAATAAGTAACATTATCAAGAATGAACAAAAAATGAAAATTCATATTTGAGATATGAATTCATATTTTGACTCCCTACACTGGAAAACTAATAAGTGTATAGAAGTAAATAATGTGTTACTGGGAAAAACATATTCACTTGTTATGTACACGTTTAATTGTGAATATAGGGAAAGTTTATCATATGATTTAGAAAGTGTTTGAATTTCCTGATTTTTTTTAATTTCTCCATCAAATTTTCAAATAACTCTTGCTCACTTAGCCAAAATCTTGAAATACTGGTATTCGTAGTTGTACCTCACGTTAAAACAGTTCATTCACTTGTCAAATGAAAGGAAACAATTACATTTAATTATATAATTTTACCACGGATAACCTCACCTTGTCTTGATGTTTTGTATTTGAATTAATCTCATTGCATTGAACCATAATACTTTTTATAGTCTGACTTTTATTCTGCTTGTGGAGTTTTCATTAAGAAAATAAAGATTTAATTTAAATTTAATAAAGTTTCATTTAAACAAATTACATTTTTTCATATATGAATTACAAACAACGATTAACCTAAAATAAAAATCGAAGCACGATATTTCTGAACATTTGGTGAAAACAGCCTCTTTCTTCCATTGGAAGTAATATTCAATTATAGTTTTTCCATTTTTATTAATAATTCAGTAATGACTGAATGCTTCTTAAAAATGTGAAGCAAAAATAACAAATAGAAAAACCAAAACTAAGCACATATGAAGAAAAAAAAACTAAATACATTATATAAAAGGAGCACATGAGATCACCCCTGGTTTTTTGTGGGGTTCGTGTTGCTCAGTCTTTGGTTTTCTATGTTGTGTTTTGTATACTGTTGTTTGTCTTTTGGTCTTTTTCTTGTTTTGTCATGGCGTTGTCAGTTTATTTTCGATTTGTGAATTTGAGCGACCTTTGGTATCTTCACCTCTCTTTTATACCAAACAATGCTCAGTAATATGTTCTTGACCTTTTGGTGGAAATGCATTCGAATAATAAATTTCTTAAGCATTTTGTTTCAAGCACAATTAGAAATGAAAATTTTTCATCATCAAAACTTTGTTTGATCCAGCCTATAAGTAAGAAAAATAATTTTCGTATTCGACTTCAAATGTATTAACTTGAGCACACATCCTGCCAAAGTTGACAAGCAAGTCAATCAAACTTTTGGTCTACATGAAATTGTATAACAGTTTGAAAATTCCCATCAATAATCATCCCAATTCCTTATATTGATATGCATTTCCAAACATAAAGCAGATAGTTTGAACCGAATGCTTTCATTAAAATAACCTTAGCTTACATGTTCTATTGAATCTGTATGCATCTAAGGATATAGAGCTTTACAAATATAGTTTTGATATTAAAGTACGTTCAGGGCCAGTTCTAGGGATATACTATTCATATTCAACTAAATAAAATGATTTTATAATTGTATTTCAGCTTCCAGTAATTATGGAGGTCCTATGAGTATAGTTGGTGGAACAAATGCTTCACCTAATCAATATCCTTATCAGGTATGATATTCAAGGAGAAAGTAATCCTAAAATCCAACCGTGTGTCTACCTATTGTCACCTTCAGTGTCAGCAAAGTTGTTGTTGTTTGTTGCTGTATATCATATTTGTTTTTCGTTCATTATTTTGTACATAAATCAGGCCGTTAGTTTTCTCGTTTGAATTGTTTTACATTTGTCATTTCGGGGCCTTTTATAGCTGACTATGCGGTAAGGGTTTACTCATTGTTGAAGGCCGTACGGTGACCTAAAGTTGTTAATTTCTATATCATTTGTTCTCTTGTGGAGAGTTGTCTCATTGGCAATCATACCACATCTTCTTTTTTCAAAGACTAATTTTAAACGTTTAAACATAAAATCGAATATGTAATTTGTTATGTTAATGCAAGAAATTCTGGTAAAAACAAAAGTAATTATATTTTGTACAATGTAAAATTTCATACATTTTTCGTATCTCATATTGTCGAGACAAAATGATTTGACAAGTTAAAATATCGAAAGCATTGCCGTTATTGGTGTTTGATGAGTGTCATGGTCCTTTCATAGAAGTCATATGGGTACGCCATACCTAGATTACCAACTTAATTCATTTTTTAGTATTGCTTTTCTTATGGTAGTTTAAAGTCATTGCTAAAGCGTTTCTCATCTCTCCCCCATTTTGGATAAGTTTTATATACTATTTAACTGCTTCATACCTATCATTCCTTCAGTATTACATGATGTACGAATGTTATTTTGATGATTGTCGATGGCCTCCAGCGACATTGACTTGTTCTTCTGTGTATGTTCTAGTATGTGTTTTTTGTTAGGTTGATATCATATGGGTTTTTTTCCCTTGTGTACACAATTTATTCCAGATATTTGTGTTGCTGATTATTCATTATTATCCTGTTAGACAAAATCTATATTTTCAGCACTTACCAGGCTAGGATATTCATTTTCAAAATCCTTCTGGGCCCCTTCCCCCTCCGAAAATTAAATGGTCGCCCCTAATGCAACATAAATATTCACTAAGTGAAATTACTTTTTAATTTCAATATATGCAACTTGATATTTACACATGCGTAAAATTGATACAAAAAGTGAACATAAAATCCTTACAAAAGTATATCAATTGATTGCATCAGGGAAACTTAACAAATATAATATGTATGGGAACAACTATGGCTCATAAGTTTCATAGACATTTTAATTATCATTATAATTATTTTTATATTTAATTTAGATTTCAATGAAATCAGCTTCCTCTGACCATTTCTGTGGAGGGTCTCTTGTTCGAACTGGAAGCGGTGAAATAGTAGTAGTGACAGCTGCGCATTGCTTATCTGGGTAAGTGTTATGTCATATTCTATTTAAAAAAATCTTACTAGATGATCCATATCATAATTGCACGAAGTTGTTAACATCGCTTATTTGGCCCGACCCTCAGTCATGGTCTTTTGACTGTGACATTTTGCTTAGCTTACATGTATTAATTTGTGATTAGGTCAGTTTAAAGGGAACCATTAGTAGTTGGCCAATTATATTCGGTATCTAGTTGTATTAGCATTGGCACATCTCAGTTTCATGGAGATTATCCCCCCTTTCCCAAAAAAAAACAATCTTTAGTCATGGGTTATTGACTTTGAAACTTTTTCATAGTTTACAAGTTTGTTTTGTTTTTTTTAATTCTGTTAGTTTAAAGGGAACCAATTATGATGATTCAATGGTATTTGTTTGGTAGAGTTTGAAAAGCATTGGCATTTCTCATTTCCATAGAGGGTATTTGGCCCTGCACCTTAAGTCATGGTTCATGAACTTGAATGATTCACATAGTTCACATGTTTAGATATTGCCTTTCAAATTTTAACATTTGCATTATACTATCAAAATTACAAATCGAGAGATATATCTCTGACAGTTTATTCTACATTTCACTCCATATAATTTATTTATTTTCTGGTTCAAATTACAAAAAAAAAACAATCTCTCGACCGTTTTCTCAGATAATCGTCCATCATATACACATTTCCAATTCACGCACCGTTTCATGGAACTTAATACAAGCGACAGAGATCATGTATTTGTTGTATTGGGGTTTTCCACTTTGTATTTGTGAAACTATTGCCAATTTTTGGTGTGCTTATCGCTATGTTCAGATTTTTTTGTGCTAGAATTATGAAATGTCGGGGATCGAAATAAGGGGGACATGTCTAGTATGCGCTCACGACACAGCTGCTTATATGTTCGTTTACTAGTGAGGAACCTCCCCGTTGTTAGTCCATTGGTATATTTCAATTTTGTTTTTAGATTTATCAGCTTTTACCTAGAATTATACTTCCAGTCCATGTATTTAAGTATTTTGATTTATCCTTTAGAAATTTTCAGTCTCGGTCATTTGTGCATGTATGTTCTGAAGTTTTTTATCCATCTTAATTTTGCAGTGAATCGGCTTCTGACGTTCAAGTTGTTGTCGGTAGACATACCATTGATGGCAGCACAGGAAATCAGTATACAAAGGAATATAAAGTTAAGAAAATAATCCTGCATCCTGAATACGATGACGATACATTTAACAATGATGGTGCAATCATGTACCTGGATGGCACTGTGGAAACCAATCCTGGAGTTCAACCAATAGAGCTGACAGATAAACCAACAGTTAACTTTTTTAATCAGGAATGCATTATCACTGGATGGGGTGCACTGATTGAAGGTAAACCATTTTTTGTTTTAAGTCGCAGGATATTTCACAAATAATCAATCTACTTTTTGAGCACATATCCATAAACCCCGTTACTTAATATGAGCAGACCAATGTGACCCATAGTTGTTTAAATCTTCGTTATTTGAACTCAGGTGGATAGCTGTCTCATTGGCAACCATACTACATCTCCTTGTTCTTATAAATACAAAATTAACAAATTTCCATAAAAAAACGATAATTATATATGTATGAAACAAAGGCAAAAAATCAACAAATCACACAGTTAACTTAGAATGATTACAAGATTGAGAGAAGCAGTGGTGTAATCTGTTGCCAGAATTGTTGTTTCATTCATTAGTGATTGATAGTTAACTCTGGGAAGGAACTCGTGAAAAAAGGAAAGATGGGCGAAGTGTCATACTGTTGTTCTATTTAGTATCTCAAGAGTTGTTTTTTTTTTTGCATGTACTAGTATGTCAAAACTTTTTTTCAGTAGTCAAGCTGCATTTCATTCTTAATATTTTCAGGCGATAGTGGTCCAAATATACTTCAGCATGCCTCAGTCGATTTCTTCCCTGATGTTAAATGCACAAAAGATTACGGAAGTAGCTATGAAAAGAAAACGATGCTTTGTGGTGGAAAACGTTCTGGTGGTATTGATTCATGCCAGGTGAATATCATAATCAAGACTAGTTAGATTTAGCCTGTCCCTAAGTTATGAGCATGTAGTACAGTGGTTGTCGTTGGTTCATGTCTGGCATACTTGTTTTTCTCAAATTGTCTTGCCATGAATTAGGCCGTTAGTTTTCTCGTTTAAATTGTTTTACAGTTTTCATATCGGGGCTTTTTATAGCCGACTATACGGTTTACCCTAATAATTCAGTCGTTATAGTTCGCTGCTCTACGACGGCTTTATTAACTGCATACCGAGAACACCGATACGATTACATCGCTGGGTTTTTTTACTGTTTGATATGTTAATTAAGAAGTCATGTTTGAGAGACTGTTTAACGTAAATTGATTACGGAAATCCAGGCGCTGATCCAAAATTTTATATTTGGGGAGGGGGGGCGCGCTCCTGATAATTACGAATTAGAGGTCCTTATTCTGACACAAATTGGTTGTTATTTCACCTTTGATTTTTTTCTTTGATTTTGTTTGTGGTGGAGGGGAAGGGGGTGATGCACACCTGTCTTAATCGATACATGAAGTCGGATTTCTGAATAAGTCCATTTATCTGTAAACTTCTATCGCACATTGAAATCATTACCAGTTAATGCTCTTGTGCTCTTGACAATATGATATGAAAAAGATATTCGATTTACGAAAACTTTTTTAACTTGTGTAAAGTATGACAATTGATGGAAATAGATTTTTACATATAGGGGAGATTTGTAATGATGCATATCATAGACAAGGTTTTTAATGATAAAATAATATTTTGTGTGCAATGTTAGAAAAATACAACCATTCAATGATATATTCATGAAATTGACTAAAGGAAATACAGGAGACCGTAAGGTGCTCTAATTGCCGTTATTATCATTGAATTTATTCGTTTATAACTATTTCAATTCAATAGTTGTGGTTTTTTTTGTGTTTTTTTTTTTTGTTGTTGCTTGTCGTACTGTATCTCTTAATCAAAACTCGATATGGAATGTCACGCGGCTTCCTCTGTCAATAAAAACTGACTGCTACAGTATAACCAATAATGCTGAAAATAGAGTTAAGCAACAAAAATCAATCAATCTATCATGTCCATCTGGAGATGGATATTCATTGACCATCTTTTAAAACTTGTAACTGTTTATGAAAAGTGCTTATCTATAAACTTATTTTAAGTAAACGCAAATTTTTTGGGGAAAATTTTAGAAATCACCTGAGATATAGTATAAAAGTTTATTTTGTATTTGTTTTTTTTTTTCTTAGCAGAAATCTGACTCTCAATGCATGAAATTGATCCCATCTATTAGGTTTAAGCAGATATATATATGAAAATAAGAAGATGTGGTATGATTGCCCGGCAATGAGACCGCTCTCCGCCGGAGACCAAATGACTCATTAAAATGGAGGTTGATGTTGAATCACGGACTAATACAGATGGATTATGTAAATAATGTAGTAGTTGCCCATTAACTACAACTACCAAATAAATTCAGATAAGGATTTAAATGAGAAAATTTGACGAGGGTACCCATCAAGATATATATATGAATTATCGTGTTAGTCCTATTTATTATATACAATTGCTGTTTCAATTTGAAAATAACGTTTATGGGCAGTTTCAGTAACCTTGTTTTCCGATGTTCTAGGGAGATTCTGGTGGACCATTTGCCTGTAAAGAAAATGGAAAACTGGTATTAAGCGGTGAGTACTAACGTTCTTATGTTATCAAAAGTTATTGTTGAAACGCAGCTTGTTTGCCTATTTTTAAACATTATAAACAGACACGAAATTGTTGATAAAAGACAACGTAATAATAGGTTTCATGGCAAACGTATCAATCGAAATCAACATCAGAAGTCAATGTAGAAAATAATACTCCTTTAACTTGAAACTGTGAATCGTCGGAGTTTAGATATGATCCCTATGGCCATGTTATTACGGGGGACCTCAATATCGTCCAAGACAGAGAGGTTAAAAGCTTTTTGAAAAAAGGACCAAAATATCGTCCATCTAAAATAGATTGAAAATAGTGTCGTCAGGTCACAAAAGACGCTCTTTCCTCGTTTTGTAAAAATTGATATAAACGGGAAAAATCTGATAAAAAATCTCTTGATTCTTATTCAAATAAATGTATGAATGTTGTGGATATTCGAATATCACATTCTGAAAAAAATTCAGAAATAAATAAGAGTACATAATACGTCTATTTCCAGAATACGAAATAAACGTCAAGAACTTTCAAAGCGGTTTGTGTTTGTACCGGCCGACAAAGCAGCCAACAATGTGGTGGTGGTATGCCGTAAATGCTACACGGACGTTCTTAAGAATGAAATTTTAAATTCATCTACACTCAAGTCCGTGCGCTCCACAGAGAGTCATATAGACGTTGCGCACGATGTTGGTACCAATTCCATTTTGCTATAGATTAGCATAAAAATAAATACGTAGACTGGTCAGTTCGATAAAAATATAGTGATTTTTGATTTAATTCATCCCATTAGACTTGAAATTAAAGAAAAAAAGGAACCGAAATTTAAAATACCAGGAATTATAACACTTAATTATCCCATTTTTACGCAAAAACGTAATGTCCAACGTTTCATTTTGTGTGCAAAAGATCAGAGTTCCGTTTCTCTCCTACGGTATTTTTTCTCTGATCATCGTAAAACTTCACAATAATATTGCTATTCTTATAATTATTCGCGTGTTAAAGCAAAATCAATATCACTGAAACCGTAATCCGGAAAATGTTATTTTTGTAAACGGTCTGAAAAATGTCCAACCGTATGCAAAGTAAGTATATTTCGGGTTTGCGCATTTATACCGTGAAATTGAAAAAGCTGAGAGAAAAAATATTTATTATATTTTGAAAGTTTTTTTACTTTTCTCCTGGTTCATGATATTTTTTTGCCGGAAACCATGCGTATAGTTTCTATTGCAATGACTTCAAAAAGTATAGCCATCTTGTCCCAACGAAAAAACGCTGTATTTTCTTTAAAATTGAGGTTTTAACCAGCTGTCTATCAAATAAGCATAGTTAGATCATAAAAAATAAAACTTGGCGGTAAAGGTTTTTCTGTTTTTCTTCTTAAACAATATAGTGTTTAATATTTTTTCGTTAGGCAACAAGGTTTTTAGATCGTTTCAAAAAGTATAGCCGTTTTGTCCCAACGTTCGCAAAACGTAATTGATGTCATGCTCTGGTTTTTAATTCTATATCGTAATTATTTGTTTCCAGTTTAATTCGAATGAAAATAAAAATACATGTATAAATTACAAAACAACCAATGTATGAGAAAGGAATAGTTTAAGTTTAAATTCAAATGTTGACCAAATGAGATCGATATAAAAAAAATATCGGGATCTTAGGGCTTTTTTTTATAGCATATTTGTTTTATATAAGGAACATTGTCTATCTGCAAGTTTTAAATCGTCAAAAGTAACATGTATATTTTTTTGTTAATAAAATAAAATAGAGAAAACCCATTGCTGGCAATTATAACAAACAAAGGATATGCCACAAAAATACGGAAATGAGAAAATTTAAAACATGAGTCCCGAATGTTTAACTTCCTAAATATTTTGCGACAAAGAAAGCATCGGGAAATGATACAATATAGAAAGGAAACGGAAACGGGAAGAAATGCAACAAAAGGAATAAATATGCAAAAAATAGGAGAATATGAATTCAAAATCTAATTTATATTAAAAATAAATCTGTGTAAATTTGGACATTATTGTATCGGATTCATTAATGCGAACTGCTGCCGAAAGGAAAATTATCAATTATGGCCTGGAAAGACTGACAACTCCTGTAAATGAATTTCATTAAAAAAATATCTATACGACCACTTTGAGTTTTATTTGTAAATTTATGCATTTTTTCAGACAAACCGAAATCGGTTACCAAATTCACAACAGTAAATTGACATCATCAATAATATGCTTGAACGTCTGAAACTTTCTTTGAAATCGTCGAAATCGCCTTATTTTGAGGAACTTCGTGAAACGCTAAGTAGTACCAACATCGTGCGCAACGTCATAGTAAACAAACATGTCATAGCCACATCACAACTAGAGGCCTCTTCTGAACATTTGAAGGTCCCTTCTATGTATTGGTTACCTAAACTACACAAAAATCAGTAAAATATCGTTTCATCTCGTCCTCTAGTAAGTGTTCTACAACTAATCTTTCAGTGCTTTTAACTAGTTCCTTAACTACTATCAAAGAACTTATCATAAACTTTTGTAATAAAATATATGAAAATATTGGAATTTCTTTGGATGTTTTAGATAAATTGCGTGCTTTTGACGGTCCTTTTGATTCTGTTGACAGTTTTGACTTTAAACTCTTTACACTACACTTCCACACAATCTTATCAAACAAAAGTTTTCCTATTTAATTAAATGGTCGTTTGGTAAATCTGAATGCAAATATATTTACTGCAACTGATTAAAAGCCTTCTTCTCTAATGAGAAAGGTAAATATGCTAGATATACTTACTGGAGGTGTGATGAGATGATTGAAGCTGTTAGTTTTCTCTTTGATAATAGTACGTTTCGGCAACAAAGTTTATCGACTGGTTGTAGGTATTCCTATGGGCACCAATTACGCCCCTTTAATAGCAAACTTGTTTTTGTACTGTTATGAATCACAGTTTATGACCAAACTCAGTAAAGACCCGTTTAAATTGCATTTAGTTGATGAATTCAACAACACTTACCATTATCTTGATGATATTTTTTTCGTTAAATAATCAAGAATTTTCTAAATAGACTGCCGAATTATACCCAAAGGACATTACTTTAAATAAATCAAATGTAAACGGTAATAACTGTCCTTTCCTTAATTTAGATATTTCAGTTTTACACGGGAAACTCCACACAAAAATTTACGACAAAAGGGACGCCTATTCATTCCCTATTGTTAATTTGGATGGTGATGTTCCTTTGGCACCATCTTACGGTGTTTATATTTCACAACTCTTTCGCTATGCCCGTGTCTGTTGTGACGTTTTAGATTGTAATGAACGTTATCTATGTATTACTGGTAAATTATTAAGTTAGGCATTTCGTTACCACAAAATACTTAAAACCTTTACTAAATTCTTCCATAGATATAAAGATTTTGTTTTGAAGTTTTGTTGTACCTGTAGAAAACTTATTTCATTCGAGATAGCACATCCTCATTTTTACGGAGATTTTGTTTACCGTGCCCGGAAATTTAGAAACGATCCTGGTAAACTTATCGATCCTTTAAATAAACTTATTCTAAAAGGTTACCAATTCAACACTGTAATTAGATCTTAGAATATTGTTTTTATTGGCTTTAATATTGATTTTGTTATCAGTAAATTAAAAGCAAACTAAATATTATTGTTATATACATATGCACTTTCATGTATCTACAATCTGTCGATACCTGTATATTGGCATTGCACAAGGTCATGATTTTCTCTGTTTATGACGTCTTTACACTAAATCCATTGGATGTTGGATGTATACTGATTGATAATTTAGTCTTAGATGCATGATTTTTGTCAAGCCTGCGACTTTTGTCGCAGAAAGCTCGACATAGGGATAGTGATCCGGCGGCGGCGGCGTTAGCTAACTTCTTAAAAGCTTTATATTTTAGAAGGTGGAAGACCTGGATGCTTCATACTTTGTATATGGATACCTCATGTTACGAAGTTTCCGTCAGTCACATGTCCATTGTCCTTGACCTCATTTTCATGGTTCAGTGACTACTTGAAAAAAAAGTTAAGATTTTTTGTAATGTTAAATTCTCTCTTATTATAAGTAATAAGATAACTATATTTGGTATGTGCGTACCTTGCAAGGTCTTCATGCTTGTCAGACAGTTTTCACTTGACCTCGACCTCATTTCATGGATCAGTGAACAAGGTTAAGTTTTGGTGTTCAAGTCCATATCTCAGATACTATAAGCAATAGGTCTAGTATATTCGGTGTATGGAAGGACTGTAAGGTGTACATGTCCAACTGGCAGAAGTCATCTGACCTTGACCTCATTTTCATGGTTCAGTGGTTATAGTTAAGTTTTTGTGTTTAGGTCTGTTTTTCTCATACTGTATGCAATAGGTCTACTATATTTGGTGTATGGAATGATTGTAAGGTGTACATGTCTAGCTGGCAGGTGTCATCTGACCTTGACCTCATTTTCATGGTTCAATGGTTATAGTTAAGTTTTTGTGTTGTGGTCCTTTTTTCTTATACTTTATACAATAGGTCTACTATATTTGGTGTATGGAATGATTGTAAGGTGTACATGTCCAACTGGCAGGTGTCATCTGACTTTGACCTCATTTTCATGGTTCAGTGGTCAAAGTTAAGATTTTTAGTTTCGGTCTTTTTTCTTATACTATATGCAATAAGTCAACTGTATTTGGTGTATGGAAATATTCTATGATGTACATGTCAGTCTCGCAGGTTTTATTTGACCTTGACCTCATTTTCACGGTTCATTGCTCAGTGTTAAGTTTATGTGTTTCAGTCTGTTTTTCTTAAACTATAAGCTATAGGTCAGCTATACTTGTTGTATGGAAGGATTGTAAGCTGTTCATGTCTGCCTGGCATGGTTCATCTGACCTTGACCTCATTTTCAGGATTCATTGGTCAATGTTTAGTTTTCTTGGTTAAGTCTGTTTCTTAGAAACTATAAGTAATAGGTCAACTATATTTAGTGTATTGAATGATTGTAAGGTGTACATGTATTTCTCGTTTGGTTTATATGACCTTGACTTCTTTTTCTTGGATCATGTTAAGTTTATGTACTAGTTGTAGTAAAGCTTTCATTTAGGACTATCAACATAATATCAATGGTTAGTAAAGAAGGCGAGACATTTCAGCGTGTGCACTCTTGTTTATTATATGTTATTGGCTTTGAACTAGCTGTCAGTAACTGCGAGTACTCTCAGATCTGTACTTAGTGTCTTTTTGTTGTTGGGATGTACAAGTACCCGGCCACGTCCACTCTGTGTTTTTGTTAGATGTATTTCTATTTGTATCCATCTGATGAGTTAAGCCTTTTTTCAACTGTATTTTATAGTTCGTTCTTATGTTGTACTGTTACACCACTGTCCCAGGTTGGGGGAGGGTTAGGATCCCGCTAACATGTTTAACCACGCCACATTCTGTATGTATGTGCCTGTCCCAATTCAGTGCTTGCCGTTTGTTGTTGTGTTAGGGAGCTACCATTTGATTTTTATGGGGGGGGGGGGGGGGGGGGGGGGGGCTAGGATGAAATTTGAAAAAAAGGCAGAACAGGAGTTTTGAGTTAAAAAAAAAGGCAGGATGAGCAACTTGGCAAACAAAAAAGCCACGATGACTATTTATGTCAAAAGAGTCAGGATAAACTAATAAAAAGAAGGCAGGACCGACTCGAGTGAAAAATAAAAAGGCAGGACAGAGATTACAACAACAAAAAAATGCAGGACAAAATATTTCATCCTAGCCCCCCATAATAATCAAACGGTAGCTCTCTTACATATTTGTTTTTTCCTTCATTTTTTTTGTACATTAATTAGGCCGTTAGTTTTTTTAGAATTTTTTTACATTTGTCTTTTCGGGGCCTTTTATAGCTGACTATGCGGTATGGGCTTTGCTCATTGTTGAAGGCCGTACGGTGACCTATAGTTGTTAATTTCTGTGTCATTTGGTCTCTTGTGAAGAGTTGTCTCATTTGCAATCATACCACATCTTCTTTTTTATATGACTCTACTATTTCTAATAAAAACTTTATTATGATTGCACAATTATAACGTTCTTAATTTTAGTCTAAAAATAATTGTTGAGAAATGGTTAAGGATATGTATATTACGCATTACAAATGTGTCGAGTTTTGTGATTGGATAACAACACGGAGATGTCAATATATATTCAGGAAACTGCCGGGGTATATACGACGTATTTTACCCCAATTGGAACTTCAACAACATCATCATAACGAACGAAATATGTGACGTAGTCTAAAGCTATACACCTCCCTTACTACTATCAAAGAACTTGTAATTAACTTTTGTAATAAAGCTTATGAAAATAATGGTATTAATTATTTTTGGAATGTTAAAAATTCTTTAGAGGTTTTGGATAAGATACGTGCTTTTGATAGTCCTTTTAATTCTGTTGACAGTTATGATTTTTCTACTCTCTACTCTACACTACACTTCCACACAATCTTATCAAGAAAAAGTTTTCATATCTAATTGAATGGTCTTTTGAGAAATCTCGTTGCAAATTTATTTGCTGTAACTCGTTTAAAGCCTTTTTCTGTAACGAAAAAGGCAAGTATGCTAGATACACTTACTGGAAATGTGAAGATATGATTGAAGCTTTAAATTTTCTCCTGGACAACATATATGTACGTTTCGGCGATAAAGTGTATCGACAAGTAGTAGGTATTCCTATGGGCACTAACTGCGCCCCTTTAATAGCAGATTTATTCCTGTATTGCTATGAATCTCAGTTTATGACCAAACTCAGTAAAGACACGACATTGTTACATTTGGTTGATACATTCAACAATACCTACCATTATCTTGATGATATTTTTTCGTTAAATTATCCAGAGTTCTCTAAATATACTACCGAAATTTACACAAAAGAACCTATTTTAAGTAAATCTAACATAAACAGCAGTAGTTGTCCTTTTCTAGATTTAGACATTTCAATTTCTTAAGGGAAACTCCATACTGAAATTTACGACAAAAGAGACGATTTTTCATTCCCTATTGTCAATTTTCCTTTTTTAAAACGGCGATGTTCCTTTGGCTCCATCATACGGTGTTTATATATATCCCAACTCGTTCGTTATGCCCGTGTGTGTAGTGATGTCATAGATTTTAACGAACGTAATCAATGCATCACTGGTAAATTATTAAGTCAGGGATTTCGTTACCATAAATTACTTAAAACTTTTACTAAATTCTTTCATAGATACAAAGATTTGATTAGTAAAATTGGCTGTACCTGTAGAAAACTTATCAAAAACGGTATTTCACATCCTAACTTTTACGGTAATATTGTACTAAAAACGCGGAAATCACTGTGATCCGTGTACACTCATCGAACTTTTAAACAAACTTATTAGTAAAGGTTATCTTACCAATGTTGTAAATAGATCTTTGAATATACATGTAGTTTACATTGGCACTTAAATCGATTTTATCATCAGCAAATTAAAACTGTTTTGTATTCTTTTCAAACGGGATGTATATAGACACACCCACGTTCATTTTTATCTATTAAGAGGTTAACTCCTAACTATCCTACTGCCTGTCGATACATTTATTTTTGGCATTGCATAAGTCGTGTCTTCTTTGACTGTCCATGACGTTAAAATACTAAATCCCTTGGATGTGTTTTAGTTGATTTTAGTCTGATGCATGATTTTTCATTATTAATTGTTTTTGGTTTTTAACTAGCTGTCAATAACTGCGAGTACTCTCAAATCGTACTTTCTTGTTAATTTGACCTGTTGATACTATTTGTAATGCTTTTTTGTTATTTAATGTTTACTTATTCAGGGTTATATCTGTCTATATACCAGCTTTGATAAGTGTTTGGTACTACTATAAATTTTCACTTCTTCGAACTATGAACATCAAAATTATTTAGTTTGTAAAAATATTTCCTTTCTCCTTTTAAACTATACCTAACAACAAAATTATTTTCATTTACCTGTTTATAATATTATTGTAAATGGCGGATTTTTGTTTAAGGTTATTGTTGTTTTTCTGAAATTGTTTAACATTTCACAGCGGTATAATACTGTTACTTTAATTATTCATCCCTTATTTTATTGATTTTGTATTTACATTGTATCATAGATCAAATTTATTCGTTCAGTGTATGTTCACTTGTGTTAATATGTCGTTTGATTGAGTTAAGCCATTTCAATTGATATTTTATAGTGCGTCTTTCTATGTTGTGATGTTACACTAATGTTTCAGATAAGGGTGAAGGTTTGGTACCATTAAAAAGTTTAAACCCGCTGCAATTGTTTGCACCTGTCCTAAGTCATGAATCTGATGTTCAGTAATTGTCGTTTGTTGATGTGATTCATAAGTGTTTCTCGTTTCTCGTATTTTATATAGATTAGACCGTTGGTTTTCCCGTTTGAATGGTTTTACACTAGTAATTTTTGGGGCCCTTTATAACTTGCTGTGCGGTGTGAGCAAAGGCTCCGTGTTGAAGACCGTGCTTTGACCTATAATGGTTTACTTTTATAAATTGTGACTTGGATGGAGAGTTGTCTCATTGGCACTCATACCACATCTTCATATATCTATACAAAACACTTAAAGAACGTCAGAGGATCACAGAGGGAAAATAAAGACTTGCATCCGTCAATAATACGTTTTTAATTTAAAATCACACGATTTACAAATCAAATACTTAATTAATGTCTTAAAGTGTTAATATAAACTGTTTCATACACGATAGAATTATTTTTCACAGCAAAATAAAAAAATCCTTTGCGTATGCGGAAAATATATATAACGTTACTGCATGGTGAATGTTAAACAATTATCTGGTACTGGAAAAAACATTAAGGCAGGGGTAATCCGTAATATATGTGAAATTCAGGTTACAGACAGGATATATAATGTGACATTCCCTGCTTAGGGTTTATATCCCCTTCGACTTCGGCTCAGGGAAATAAACTCTAAGCCGGGAATGTCACATTATATACCCTGTCTGAGACCTGAATAATATACATTGTAAGTTCTATGGACCTTAAATATTACTACGAGTCGCAGAGAAACAACACAGCACAGATACGTGAAAATATGTTATCAAAAGATGATGCCACGACTGAATAACACGTAGATGTTATCATAACATCATAGTGACACGTAGGTGTTATCAAAATATCATATAGTACATGAAGCGTATGTGTTATCAAAATATCATGTATCATGTAGTGACCCAGTAGATGTTAATTAAGCAATTTACGAACATTTAGGTATTTATGGTTCTATTTTCGTTTTATAAAAAGGTTGTATAAATTGTAGGAGTAACAAGCTGGGGACAAGGTTGTGCTCAAGCAGGAAGCCCAGGCATCTATACCGATGTATTTATGATGAGAAGATTTCTTGATGGACGACTTGGATTGATCTCTGCCTAGAGCAAGCTGTGGCCTCTCTTATTTTCTATATATACATTTTATGTTGCAAATATCGCTGTGTTTTTTTTTTTTATATTTGTGCATTAAATCATTTATGACAATTTATTGGTTGATTTAAAAAAGAAATCATTTGATTGTATCTTTAAAAATGTTGGTGTCTACAAAGTGTTCAATTCTTGCATAAGTGCACTATTATATACCAAAATTTTGAAATCCATATATAAAAAATTTTGAAATCCATATATATAAAAAACATTTTATTAAAATAAAGTATGTCAATAAAGATTTTGATTTTGTAAATATTGCCGGTATTTTTAACGACCATTCTGTTAAAGAACAAATTCCTGGATATTTTGATCATACTGAACTCCCTCTTATTTGTTATATTTACAAGAAATCTACCCGAAAATTTGTGTTTAATTATAGCCAAGTCTGTAAAGATGTAAATATCAGTGAAAATACACCTCCGTCATGTAATTGTAGTAATTCCGAATACACCTATGGCCCCATTTCCCATGTTATAACAGGAGACCTTAACATCGTTCGCGACCGAGAGTTAAAATCATTCCTCAGTAAAGGACCTAAATATCGTCCCCCGTCAATTATTAATTGGAATTACTGTCGTAATATCATCCACGACTCACTTCGTGCTTACTGTTTGAAATGGATAAAACGGGAAAAAGCTGACAAAAAATCTTTGGACTCTTTTTTTAATTCGGTAATGAAGATAGTTGATATACGTATACAACATTTTAAAGAACATTTTACTCTTAACAACAACCATAAAAATCCTATCTCTCGTATCAAACATAAACTAAAAGAACTAGCCAAGGAATTTGTTTTTGTCCCGGCTGATAAAGCTGCTAATAATATCAATATAGTTTGACGTAAATTTTACATTGAGGTTCTGCAAAAGGAAATCACGAATTCACCAACATTCCAACTGACTTCATTTTCAGAAAACGATATCTGTAACAAACAAACTATTAGCTACTTCTTTACAAGCAGAACCAAATACAATGAAAGTCCCAACTATGTACTGGCTTCCGAAGCTACACAAATCACCTTACAAATATAGATTTATTTCGTCTTCAAGTCATTGTTCCACTACTAAATTGTCTATTCTACTTACTAGTACACTTGGTACAATCAAAAACCTGATAATAAATTGTTCAAATAAGGCCTTTGAAAATAGTGGAATTAACTACTTTTGGAGTGTCAAAAACTCGTTGGAAGTACTTGATAAATTGCATGCATATATTGGTGATTTCGAATCTGTTCAAAGTTTTGATTTTTCTACCCTATATACCACTTTGCCTCATATTCTTATTAAGAAAAAATTCACACACCTAATTAAATGGGCATTTAAAAAGTCGGAATGCGAATACATATTATGTTCAAACTCTTTTAGGTCAACAAACAAAAGAGCTATGTCAATTGGACATGCTTTGATATACTATGTCTGCCCTTGAATTTTTACTTGATAACATTTTTGTTCGCTTTGGAGATTCCGTATATCGTCAAGTTATCGGAATTCCAATGGGGACTAACTGTGCACCACTTATTGCGGACCTGTTTTTGTATTGTTATGAGTTACAATTTATGACTAAAATCAGCAAAGACCCATCGAAACAACATCTGATATAAAAATTTGACAATACTTTTAGATATTTGGATGATATATTGGCTCTCAATAATGACAACTTCAGTATGTATACTAAAGAAATTTTATCCTGTTGAACTTACTTTAAATAAAGCTAATACTAACAATGACCACTGTCCTTTCCTCGATCTTGATATCTATATCATTAACGGGAAGCTTAATACAAAAATTTATGATAAAAGAGATGATTTTTCATTTCTTATCGTTAATTGTCGATTTTTTAGATGGTGATGTTCCCTTGTTACCATCTTATGGTGTTTATATATCCCAACTTGTACGATTCGCTCGTGTATGTAACAACGTATTAGATTTTAGCGAGAGAAATTTATATATTACTGAAAAATTATTACACCAGGGTTTTCGATATCATAAACTAGTCAAAACATTTACTAAATTTTATCATCGGCATAAGGACATCATTCGTAAATATAACTCAACATGCAGACATCTTATACGTTCGGGTATTTCACATCCAATCTTTTATGGTAATATTCTTTACAAAGCAGAAAAATGTCAGTATTCACCTCAAAAGCTAACAAAACCTTTAAACAGACTTATTAAGAAGGGATATAGTTACGATACTGTTGTCAGGTCATTAAAGATTGCATATTTTGGCTTTAATATTGATTCACTTATAGGGTCTTTGCATCGGAATTAAACATATTTATTCTAAAACCAGCTGTTGGCATGACACGGGTTATGTTCTTCTCATATATTTTATGACGGTATAATACTAAACCCCTAACAGGAGGGATTGTGCCTGATATTCATATGATGAAGACATGATAATCTTTCAATCAGTTTAATAGAGGTCTGGAGCTGGCATGTCAGTAACTGCTAGTAGTCTGTTGTTATTTATGTATTATTGTCATTTTGTTTATTTTCTTTTGTTTCCTATTCTGACATCGGACTCGGACTTCTCTTAAACTGAGTTTTACTGTGCGTACTGTTGTACGTTTGTTTTTTCTACAGTGGCTAGAGGTATAGGGGAGGGTTGAGATCTCAAAAAACATGTTTAACCCCGCCGCATTTTTGCGCCTGTCCCAAGTCAGGAGCCTTTGTTAGTCTTGTATCATTTTTAATTTTAGTTTCTCGTGTATAATTTGGAGTTTAGTATGACGTCCATTATCACTGAACTAGTATACATATTTGTTTAGGGGCCAGCTGAAGGACGCCTCCGGGTGCGGGAGTTTCTCGCTGCATTGAAGACCCATTGGTCGGGTTGTTGTCTCTTTGACACATTCCCCATTTCCATTCTCAATTTTATACACAAAAACATTGGAAACAATAGAATCCAAAAAGGTCTTAAACAGTACAATTAAAACAATCAATAAAATGTATGATGACCAGTATCTTTCAAAACCTAAACAGAACAATAAAAACAATCAAAAAATGTGTGATGACCAGTATCTTTCAAACCCTAAGGGAGCTACCATTTGATTTTTAGGGGGGGGGGGGGCGGGTCTAGGATAAAAAATTGTGTCCTGCCTATTTTTTAGTTGTAATCTCGGCCCTGCCTTATTATTTTTCACTTTAATCGGTCCTGCCTTTTTTTATTAGTTTATCCTGACTTTTTATACATAATTTGTCATCCTGCCTTTTTTTGCCAGGTTGCTCATCCTGCCTTTTTTTTTACTCAAAACTTCTGTCCTGCCTTTTTTCAAATTTCATCCTAGCCCCCTAAAAATCAAATTGTAGCTCCCTAAATAGAACAATAAAAACAATCAATAAAATGTGTGATGACCAGTATCTTTCAAACCCTAAACAGAACAATAAAAACAATCAATAAAATGTGTGATGAACAGTATCTTTCAAACCCTTGTCAGTTCTTCGACACAAGCTCTTAGTCAAAGACTAAAGATGTGCAGTTCACAAGCAACGATTAAAGTACTATTTGTACACAAGACGGATGAAACATAAAACAATGTACATATTTAAGGTGTGCTGAAAGTCATTAGGGAAAAGACCAATCTGTTCGAATATTCAAATGCCCTTGCAACAATTCTTCAGTGGCATGTTGAAGGGCATAATACCTGTCCCTAACAAACATAACATACTTTCCAAAGCCAGTTAAAATACTCGCTTTTCATCCCGATCAATGCACTTGTGCAGAGCTGACATGAACCTTTTAGATTTATTGTTAATTGTGTATTCGATTGTAGAAGTGCGTTATGTTTTCCGGTCTGTGTCAGTCCGTCTGTATGCCCCATATCGGGTTAAAGTTTTGGTTATAAGTAGTTTACAATGAAGTTGTAAACATTTTAACTGGAAACTTGGAACAAATGTTCATTAGGACGTGAACTTTTTAAACAAATTAGGGTTTTGATCCAGATTTCTCGGTTCATAGATTGGATTTAAGTTTTGTTGTATGGAAGGTTAAAGTTATGGTTTATGGAAGTAAGCCATGAAGTTACGGTCACATCAATTTGAAACTTAGTTCACGTGTCGATTATGACGAACTTTCAAAATGTATATGCTTAAGTGGTTTTATTCTTATTTTATGGTTCTCTTAACTTAGATTTCTAAAAAGTCGTTTAAAATAAAATAAAAACTATGGAAATTTATAAGTCTGCCTCATATATTTACTTGCATCTAGAATGTACAATGAAGGATGAGAACAAACTAATATAATTTGTAAGTCTGCCTCACATCTTGACGTCCATCAAGATTTACAATGGTATGTGGACTTCTTGATAGAGGGTTGCTTCTCACAAATGTCAAGGAAGCTATTAAACCAAGAAATTCAAGTGGCAAAGTTGGAATATCTGTTTCGCAGATGACGACGGATATGTTCCATTTGTCGTAGCCACAATCCCGTACTCTTTTATCGAATGTGACCTACGGACTTAAACTTATAACCAGGTTTGTACTTACATGAGCATTACGACTGATACCACATGTGGAGCAGGATCTGCTTTCCCTTCCGGAGAACCTAAAACCACACTAGATTTTGGTTGGGTTCGTGTTGCTCAGTCTTTAGTTTTCTATGTTGTTTTTTTGTATACTGTTGTTTGTCTTTTGGTCGTTTTTTGTTTCTTTTTGTCATGACGTTGTCAGTTTGTTTTCGACTTGTGAGTTTTAATGTCCCTGGGGTATCGTTTACTAGAGAGTCTAAATAAAATACTTACTTATTAAAATAAAATATATTTATCCAAAAAAATCAACAACAAAATCAGTGCAATAATTTTACGTTGAAACTTTTGATACGATTTTGCTAATTTTATATTTTATTTAAAAAAAATCATCTGAGATCACTTGTCAAAAATAGCTCAATTTGTATCTGAACGACAATGCGGATTTACTTTTGATAGAATTTTTTTTTATTGGTTAATGCCAAACTTATTATTTGCAAAATCTATTGATATTCAGAATATGAGTTTTGGGTAATGGTTAGGGTACGGTAAATTGGCTACGGAGTTATGTTTCCTATGTTGTAAATTGAAAATATATGCAAATGGTAAACAATAGGAAATGTAATACATGGTAAAAAATACGGCATTTTATTTTCAGAACCTCGTAGCCAAACAGATCTGGGAATCGTAGAATTCGATTAAAAAAATTTTGAAAATGCCCCTCGAGTGAAATACATTCAGTGGACTTTCTAAAATGAAAAATGAAAATGAGTATATGAAAAAGTCGTCACCGCTGTCAATTGTGTGTTTGTTGGTTGATACATAGTGGTGTGGACGTCAAATGGCACAAGACTTATTAAAATTGAGGAAATTAAGTTATTTTTTATTTCATTTTTTTAAATTCAAAAAAGAAAATGAGATAATAACTTGGAATTGTTACCATGATGACAAATAAACATCAGATGAAGTATATCAACAATAGACCAATCGGATGGAAATATCAAATTTTGTCAAGCACATGTTTGATTGTTAATTTTAGCTTCCTTTTGAACATATATCTCTTCAAGTATTCAGTATTTATACATCCTTGGCTTTCAAATATTTGCGTTTAAGCATTTCTGATCCAGCAAATCTTACGAAAAAGTTTTGAGAAAGCAGTATAATGTCAGTATAAAAAACCAAACAAGTCAGCAAGGGACCGAACAAAACAGCAATACCATTTTAAAAAAACACATACCCAAGACAAATTGCTTTCATTGAAATCGTAATGTGCTTTTAAATTGGAGTCATAAAACTTAAGACTTAGTATATAATAAATTAGTTAAAGCTCAATGTAAATGATAAATCAGTATGTAGTGTACATGTAATGATATGTAATTATACATGCAAAACACGGACCATGTATATTTATATTATGTACAGAAATATTTGCATTTAAATTTGTAATACTACTGCTGCTATAGTTTTACTCATATCAAATTTCAGAATGCTCTGATTTGTAGTTTCGAAGAAAAATATAAAATATTTTCATTCCAGCTTTTTTTCTTAAAGGGGCAGTAGCTGTCAAATTCATGTTCACCGATTTGACTCAAATTCTCATATTTCATTTATAACATAATAAAACGTATATCCAAATTATAAAAAGTATAAAATGAAAAAAATTACGATAAATGGACTCGATAATATTTATCAGCATTTCGTGTGTATTTTAGACGCCATCTAATTAACCATCGATGTGACCGCCGAAGACTACCAACGGTCATATAACCCGATATAAACATAAATATAGATATAAATAGATAGCGAACACGTGCAATTGGATTTTTCTAGGTCGGTTTGATTTCATATTATAGGTTAAAAAATATGTTAATGATCGTTTTTACCTGTATAAGAATGAGTTTTTGTGGATCTAATCAGTCAACCAAATGGTTTACCCTTGTTTCACTTTCAATGTTGACATTCTATTCCTTTTAATAGCTGAACACGCCTAGTTTATGCGTAACCCATCTTTAGCTAAGGGATTAAATTGAAAGTCACATGAATACGAATTAATCACTTGCAAGTGAATAATACATCAGCGATGTTTCTTAGCTTATTTCGACAAAATTGAATCAAACTGCCTGCTAAAAGCGAATTGTTATTTCACGATTTCACTTTCATTAATGATTGAACCAAAACAAAATCAGATTTTATTTTTGTTTATATCTCGCAGCTAATGCCCCTTTAAAATTTCTTACACATTTAAAATATTATAATAATCGATCATGGATTACTTTTTTCACCATTAGTTTCATAATTCTATATCTGTGAATAGGAGACAACTGTTTCGATGAATTATAATTCCTTTCTAGTTGAAGGATGCAATCTCGAACGATTGCACAGTCTCGTTTCAAGTCTCGAATTTGGCCACGTAAGACTCGATTTTCGTTTGTAATTTCTTCTTTTGTCATTGCTGGAAAATAAAAAAATACAAGTGTTACAAAAAAACATACAAAAGATTAATGTACAGAAAATACAGGACCGTTTTCAATTACAAAGTGTCTGCTCCGTTTGAAAAGTATGGATACGGGTGGTTCCACATATTACAAGGAATATATTAATATACCAAGAAATTATCTTCATATTAAAGAAACAGTGTTTCTATTCCTGTTCTTCATATAAGCAGTTACTAAAACCTTTGATTGTCTTTTAATATGAAATACAAGGAAACGCTTTATAGAAAGTACAAGATGGACCCTACTATTGTATTACCGATACTGTAAGATATCAAGTGATCACTACCAAATAAGAGCATTTTATAATAACTTTATTAAAGTCAAATTACACCAATAAGAGGCATAATAACATACGAATTACAATTTTTAAAACAACAGCATCATCCTTACATTTGCATAAAATAAAGTATTAACCATACAACACGACAAATGACTGCAAGTGCCCTATGTCTTCTGTTCCATAGACTGGTTAATAAAGGAGCCTATAGACTGCACTTGCTGGCTAATAGTTGGATTTAGAATATATATCATTTTATTGTCAGAAAATCTGTATATTGGGGTTTTGGAACATTAAAAAAGACATGTCTTAAATCATTATTTATTTTATTAAATAAAAAGAAATGGGGCTTCATCTTCCAGAACTTTGCACTTATTATATCTTCTAGTCTCAATAGCGATGGAATGATCACTAATTCTAAATTAACATATACTATTTCTTGTATCCAGATTAAGGTATGTCAAATAATATTCTTGTTTATATTCAGTTTTTATATGTTTGTTTAATAGAAGTTTACTATTTTGATCAAGTGATGATATTTAATTGTCATATACTTTTTTATATCTTTGCTCAAGATCATTGTATATTATTTTCACTTAGATGCTTACAGACTCTACATTTGTTTTTAACTTCATCTTTGGTTTTGTTAATACTAATGTCCGACCTAACATGATATTCATTTAAGAACCATGCGTAAAGACCTTGAAAATGAAGGGTATTGAAAGGAGAAGACCCCTTTTTAAGTACATCAGATAACTTTTCACTCAAAATTCGGTCTTCGTACAAAAGTGAAATGCGTTTTTTATCTGTCACTCATCACTCATCATTCCTGTTTACAAAAAAAAACTTATAGTGGAGGTATCTTTAGCGAGCTTCAACCTGATTGTATTGTTTTGCTTGTATTTTTTTCTTAAATAAAGATGTCAAGAAATTCGATGACGATATATTTTTTAATATCTAGTATTTTAATCTCAACTTTTATTGATATGTAGAGATTAAGAGTTTGACTTATGGTAAATACATATGTCTTTTATTGAATGGTATTGGATATGAATGGATTTTTATCAATAGACGCTAAGTAAACTCTAAATCCAAAATAATATTTTGTTGAAAAATAGTATATTGAAATCGAAATGTTTTAGCTTCTATGATGTTGCTACAATGTTGTATAATTTAAGTATACAATTCATCACTTTCCATTCAAATAATTTTGTTGTAAATATTCAATCAAAACCTTCTTACATTGTACTATCATACATTAGTGCTGAATTCACTTTTTATAAGATATTGCAAATTTTAAATACTTTTCTAAAACTATGCATCAAGGTCATCCAGTTCAGAATTAACCATCATTTATCAGAGGGAGAATAAATAAATAAAATAAACATTTGATAGAATTTTGTGTTTGGTTTGGAATTTCTTCTTTTGCTTAAGTACCCAAAATGTTCAAATATGTATCAAAATTAAAACTTTAAGCCATTTATATGCTAACAATAGAGGTAGTAAGAACATTAAACAGTACTGGTGATTCTCTTTGGGGCTAACAAAAGAGATATTAAACCAGTTGTAATAAAAAACATTAAATGGTACTGGTGGTACCCTTTCGGGCTAACAATAGAGATATCGAACCAGTGGTAGTATGAACATTAAATGGTACTAGTGGGGTGGTACTCTTTGGGGCTTATAATAAAAATATCGAACCATTGGTAGCAAGAACATTGAAAGGTATTGGTGGTACTTTTTGGGGATTACAACAGAGATGTCGAACTAATGGTAGTAGAACATTACATGGAACTGGTGATACTCTTTGTGGTTTACAATAGAGATATCGAACCAGTGGTAGTGTAAACATTAAATGGTACTGGTGGTACTCTTTGGGGTTAATAATATAGATATCTAACCAGTGGTAGTGTAAACATTAAATGGTAATGGCGGTACTCTTTGGGGTTAATAATAGAGATATCTAACCAGTGGTAGTGTAAACATTAAATGGTACTAGTGGTACTCTTTTGGGGTTAATAATAGAGATATCGAACCAGTGGTAGTGTAAACATTAAATGGTAATGGCGGTACTCTTTGGGGTTAATAATAGAGATATCGAACCAGTGGTAGTGTAAACATTAAATGGTACTGGTGGTACTCTTTTGGGGTAAATAATAGAGATATCTAACCAGTGGTAGTATGCACATTAGATTGTACTGGTGACAATCTTTAGGGCTAATAATTAGATATTGAACCAGTGGTACATGAACATTATTAGTTACATAGTGTGCTAGTGACCTAATACGATATTATGGGGTCAGTAAATTCCATATGGGGTGAGAGCGAAGCTCGAATCCCCACATCGAATTTACTGACCCCATATATATCGTATTAGGTCACTAGCACACTATGTAACGAATTTATCTTACCGATTATCTTAACATGTGGTGTTAAGACTAGTGGCCTATCAAAGTGATCAAGTCTTCAATACCGTTAGTATTAAGAACCTACTTCCATTGGTCTATTCAAAAACAAATGCCAACAATAACAATTTGTTAGCTTTAAATGTGTTTTATGAATTTATTTCAGTCGTTCATCATCAATTACTTCGTCTGATGCAACCTTTAAGATTTTTCTTCAACACCGTGTTGTTTTTATAAAGGGACGTAACACCACTACTAACCGTGTATTGAAATAAGCCCCGCCTACTAACCTAATATATACAGATATATATATATAATGTTTATAATGTGGTCAGATTTTGTTTGTATGTTTATGTATTGTCTTGGTAACAATCCTATAATTGCGGCTGCATTTAACCAATCATATTACTAGAAATGTATAGGAGGTAAGATAATAAGTGGTACTGGTGAAACCTCATGGGCTAACAATAGTGGTATCGAACCAGTGGTAGTATGAACATCAAATGATACTAAATATATATGCAAACACCACAGGTACAAATCTGTTGTATGAGGAAATTAGCGGACAATCCATAGCAAATAGAAGAGTAAAATATCAAAATTAATGATATATTTTGCCCAATCCGACGTCTGTCAATCTCATCAGATATAGCAATGCAAAACTGATCACTTAATGTCTTATAACAGGCCTCCGATATCAAGTTTCAGTTATTGATTGATATTCCAAATAGTTCCGACTTTATACAGTATTCTGTCCCCTTCATATTGATTGCTAATCATTTTGGGAATCCGTCGCAAAGGTAGTTTTTAAACATTCAATTAAATTCACTGTTGTGAAAATATTCAATGTTTTGTCATTACTATGTTTAATTATATTTTAAAGTTCGATGAGCTTTTTCTACACCTATTGAGATAATCATTGCGTGACGTAATCAAATCAGATGGTGCTGTGTACGTTAGGAAGAGCTGAGCGAACTGGACAACTAAAAGTTCCCTATCAAAAATTTAAAAAGTTATCGTCTATATTGAACTTATTTTTTTTTTCTTGACATAATTTTTAAATGCCAACTGCCTGATTTCTTCTGGATTTTGCTATCCGACAAACGAAATCAATAATGTACAACAGGGAGGGGTATGTATAAGAGATAGAACTTTTAATTAAAAAAAAACGATAGCCATTATCGACAATTATCTGTCAAACGCAATATTTTCCAGTAGGTAAATTTTAATGGACTTTTTATTTATTTTTCTGTGAAATTGTTAAATACTGGTTTTGCCCCGAAACCGTCTTTAAGGTCTATAATAACTTGCCTAAGTCAAAATAATGATCCCAACAAACACGTGTTTTTGACATTTATGTACGATAGAGAGTGAAATGGATTTAATAATCATGTCTTATATCTGATAACATAAATATACGTTGACAGAAATTTACATTTTGCCATGGATGTAATTTGTCAATTCAGATGAAGACAATGATTTAAGCAAAGCAATCAAGCAGAAATCACATTTTGTAACACATCAATCAATACAGAATGTCGTTATAGCCCACTCAGTTGATAGCCTTTTAGATGGACGATTTGCAGTTGAAATGAGAATTTTATTTGAAGTAAAATTTGCATCATGGAAAGATATAAAGCAGACTTAAGCTATTAACAGATCAGGGCAACCTACAATATTACTTCGTCAAATTGACAATAACTAATTTACACATGTTGAAATAGAAATTGTTCGGTTTAATGTGTTCCAATTGATTATAAAACCTGGCAATATCAATGCTATATTCTTTATTTTTTTCCCTGACTATCCTTGATCTCTACTATCCAAGTTACGCCCTTTTACTATAATCATAGTTTTCCAATTGCACTCCTGATAATAAGAAATATGTATGTATGTAACGAATAAGACGAAGTAAAACACACGAAAAAGGAGGACGATGACCAGGACCTGTATCTGACCCATGAAACCGCCAAAAACTTTAAATTCTTCAACTTTATTAACAATCGTCTTCAAAGAGTGTTGGTTATCTTACCAAGTCAGATACTTTCAGCTTACTTTTCAGTTCAGCAAATAAAAGTGAAAAATAAAAGTCAAGGCTAGCTTGATTTCTATAGTATATCATCGAGTTAGGTACATTAACTTGCTTTCAGTAATTTATTTAGCATTGTTGTTTTTTTAAACTTTTTCAGTGCTTTGTTACAGCTATGGGAAGGAAATATTCTATGTCAAATATGTACTTCCTGACAAGGCCATGAATTAGTAGTAATATAATGTAATAACAATAGTTACATACAGAAGAATGTACAATAAAAATCAAATACAAGTAACGCGTAACTCATTAAACCCGACATAAAAAAAAACCAACAAAGCACTGAAAAAGCACTGAAAAAGATCGCACTGGTTCTGAGAAGTTCGAAACCACAAAAACAGGTGAAACGGGAAATTTCCTGTTTTTGTGGTTTCGAACTTCTCAGAACTAGTGCGATCTTAAATGCACTTAAAAGTGATTTTTTTTTTGACACTAGTCACGTGTTGTTACTACATGAAATGACAAAAGACTGTCTCTTTATTTGAACTTTAGACATTATAAGTCTCTGACATCTTGGAATTGTGGAATTAACATAGAAAGCAATCAAGCTAAAAATTATTATTTTTCCTCAACAGTAACGATATGAACAGGGGAACACGATGATCGCGTGTGATGGCAAATGGCGAATTCAGATGGTGCGTAGATGGCCCTTGGATTGAAAATAAATTTCCGTTTTTTGCATAAAATTCTTACAAAAAAGCATTTCTACGCTCGGTGCAATTGATACAATTACAGACAATTACGCCCCACTTTTCTTGAACCCTCGATCAACCCCTGAACGACACAGCAATCTCAATATCACAAAGGCAAAAATTACATCTTGAGGTTTGGACCTGTTCATTAGAATAAACAATTAGTAACTTCTAGATATTGAAACGACCAATTAAAGGAGACTTTTAAACCAGTTTATTCAGCAGGTTTTACCATACCTCCTAACACTTTACTATTTAACACAGCTTAAATATATTTACTAGATATACAATAAAAAATTTAGCGATGGTACTTATTTTTTGAATAGCTGAGACATGGTTAAAATATAATAGCAATAACAGATCCTCGTTAATGACAATGCGAATTTTAAAAATATACCTGAATATTTTCCTTCTCTATTTTTGGCTACCTCTAAGTTGTAAGAAAACTCTTTGCTGTTTTGGAGGTCATCACTTGATTCATCTACTTTAATGTGAAGATGAAGAACACATCTTTTTACCAAGCCCTTAAGTTCTCTGTATCGTCGGAATGGATCCAACTCCTTAGAATGTTCATATTCATTTGCTAAATGTTCTACGATCTGTTTTAGTCTTTTGTACTCTTTCTGTAAAGTTTCAGCTTCTGCTGACAAATGTTCGTTTAACTGTCTTGGGTCACTTTTTGTGGCAACTCGATTACTACACGCTGAAAAAGTGAAATACAAAGTATACTGACTTATAAAGTTTTTTTTCTAATTTTTAGTTCCAAACGAAAATTTTAACATATGTTCTCAACGCTGTCTTGCCGCCTAGGTATTTTCATGGGAGCGTGTTCGCCTCGAGGCCAGGCTAAACCAAAGACTTTGACATTGGTATATTTGCTGCTTCTCTGCTAAGCACGCAGCATTAAGGAGTAAGAGCAAACTCGGACTGCTCGGATCGGAGTCAGAATGTGTCCAGGTAACGTAACATGTCTTCCTGTGGTTACCTTAACTAGCACGTTAAAAATCTGGCTCAGTGTGTTGGTCTAGTACAAAGCAGGGTAAATATTCACATTATATTAACATGTTCTTGTCCTGAATATGCACTTAGTTTTCCGCTGGACGTGCAACCTTTTTTAGATGTGAACACCAAATGATATTTAAAAATAAACAACACGCCTGGTAAACCATAAAATCTCAACCAAATGGTTAAGCGAGAAAAATTTTACTGGAGCGTCCTGTTGAGATTTTCTGGTATAAAATGGTAGGTCGATTTTACATCAATTTATTGTCAATCTTTGATTGTTTTGTTAAATAGGAGAATGTCATGCCATAGATTACTGAATAAAATTGTCTGGTCTAGAACTCGGAAAAATGTTATTTAAAATGACATTGGAATGACTTTTCTCCTGTAGGTAAGTGCAACCAGCACAGTCAGTTATTGGGACAAAATGATAGTGAGCTCATCAATATAGCTAACTTATATATCAGTCTATTGGAATTCTGATTAATCAAATATAAACAGTTTTTTTTTCAATTTTTTACATTATTTTTTATCTTATTAACGAAGGAGAAAAAAACGGATTTGTAGTTTTTAAGAATCTCCCCTTTCATGAACGATGTAGGTGCAACTTATAAAAAAATACAATTTTATTAATACTCCAATACCACATTTAGAGCACTGACGATAATCAATGAGATCATTCATATCAATATTAAATATAACTGAGATCAATATAAAAAAAAAGGAGATGTGATATGATTGCTAGTGAGACAATTCTCCACCAGATTTCAAATGAAGTGGATGTAAGCAATTATAGGCCACCGTACGAAGTCAGTCGTAAATATGAACGTCACTTTCTTTATCTTCTTTTTTTTTATGTTGATATGTATTTATTTCCGGACAGAAGACTAATTAAATTAAGAAATTCTTTCTATAAGAGCCTTGTACATGTCACTTATCTAAGTCAATATAATTGACAGACGCAAGACAGATTTGTTGTGACGGAAAAAAAACCATGAGACAATAAGATTTTCTCTTGGAACCAATTGTTGCTCCTTAGCAAAATTGACAGAATGTCAACAATCAATGTGTAACACTTCGATTAATTAAGGCGACAGTAGTTTACCGCTGTTCAATATGGTAAATAGGTTAAGAGACAAATCAAAGAAACAAACAAAGTGAGCAACGTCAAATCTTTCAGGCAAAATTTGACTTTTAAAAAGTTTTAGTTATTTTGTTGGGTTGATGTTTACAAGAGTTTTATATATTTGTCTTCCTAAACCTTACTTGGTCTTGCACGTTCCAGATTCATTCTTACTTCCATAAATGATTGTCCTCCTCTTCATCAGAGCATTGTATATTGCCTTGTAGTCTTTTTAAAACAATTTCTTACTGGTAGTTATAGACAAGTTTAGCCCAAAAATATATAATAACTCAAAAGAATATCATTTTCCCGTCAAAACTAAAAGATTGATTATTAGATATACGCCAACCAGATAGGAATAACAGGTTGTGTTTCGCCTTAATACCCAAATCTTCTAAAAATAGTTTCTGCCTTGAATCAAGGCGTGATATTTGAAGTGTCAATCTTTGGGCAGACACTAGGCCGTTGCTGAAGATTGGCTACAAACACTGTCAATTCTGTCAATGTAAAGTGGAATTGACGCGTAATTGGTTTGATACGAGAGAGGACCTCGAAAAGAAATTTCAATGGCTTGAACAATACATTCTTAACTTATACTTGATGCCAGTTCAATAAAACGTTTATAGTAAATATATGTGTCATGTCACTACATATTGACATTTATGCCATACAAAATTTTCAAATTACCATATTAAAATGCATTACATTATGTGGGTTGATGTCTAATTAATCTATACCCCCAGAAGTCCATTACTAGTAATGGACTTCTGATACCCCTCATTACTAGTATTAAAATCCGTAAGTCGAAAAAAGAAAGACAAATTGTTCAAATAAAAAAGATTGTCCGAATAAAAATGATTTTCTAAACAAAAAAGACGAAAAGAAAAAGAACATGTTCACAAAACTCCACACAGGAAACTAAACATTTAGAATTATGGACGCTTACAAAAACCAGTGATGACACCAGGTGCTCCAGAAGGGTAAGTAGTTCTCGTGCCACTAGTGGAACATGGCAAATACAAATGAGCAGCATGTATTCAATGATGTCATAGATGAAAAACTGGCTACGAAAAAATTACACAGTTTAAGATAACGGCTAACCAATTCATGATGGTGTCTTTAAAAATTTTCAAAGAGATGACTCCAACTTTACCATAAGAACCTATGGTTAAGTAGCTTCATTGTAAACAGCAAACCGTTATCAATAACATAATGGAAGGAAACACAAGTCTGGAAAATCGTAACAACTGGGAAAATATACTTCATTTGCAGGTGCAGCTGAAATTATGCTACATAAGAACAGAAATGTGACATAAAGAAAATTGAAGTAATCTCTTTTGTCGTTTAAAAAGTTCAGTTTATTCACTGTCAATTTCTAAACTATAACGAAAAACAAACATATCAGACAGTAACCAACGACAAACAGGCTACTGACTTGGGACAGACACATATAGAATGTGACGGTATTACACATGTTTGTAAGCGATCAACCCTCCCCTAACCTGGACAATGGTGTAACAGTACAACATATGAACAAACTGTATGCCTTGTTCCTTCATAAAACAATGTATTTGTATCGTATTACCTTAATAGAAATGAGGCAAAACTATTGCACAAGAAGAGAGGTTTAGATTGATGTTGCGATATAACTAGAGTAGGAGGTTTACAGTAACTCTGAAGCTCGATTTTTTACAGCTGATAGAATATATGTTAGAAATTAGAAAAGGAAGTTTCGTTAGGCCTTTTGGCAGATCCAACTTTATATAACGTTGTTTGTAAAGATCACTTATGTAATTTGGGTACCTAGTAAGGTGATTATATATTGTGGAAAGCAATAAGATTTGGAAGCAGGTGATGGAACGTATAATATCTTCATCCTGGTATTATTTGTTATTTAAACTATCGCGAGAAGATAAATGTCCTATCCATTATGATGGCAGAAGCTGTTTATCTAGTTAGTTTCTTTTGAAATTGTATCGATTTATTTTTCTGGAGATGCAATTATTTTTTTAAGTCACAATATGGTAAGATCGTCTCTTTTTACCTTTATTATTTTTCAAATTCGGAGAACAGTAAAGAAATTTGATAATACAATCGAATTTCAATCTACTCGAATCTGAGAACAAGAAACACACATAGTTTATGAAAAATATGGAGGTATAAATAAACTCGGTGAAGAAATTGTCAAAATAAGAAGATGCACGGTACGTATCCTAGCTAGATTCAATATACATCTGTACTTCACGCACTAGCCATTAGCAGGAATTGGCTGGTTTAAAAGGTCAGATAAATCCTAAGAGAAACATTGTCCGCGAGTTATAATAAAACTCTCCATTTTCAATATTAAAAATTTCAGATATTAGAAATCTTACTTGCCATATATGCAATATCGTAATAATTACAGTGAATTTTAAACCTCGGACACAAAACAAAACAAGAAATCGTCAGGTAATAATTGGTTTGTTTCCGATACTATCCACAATGTTCATGTTTCAATCTTATTTGTGTTACCGTGTCAATAAATAACTCTTCTAATTTACATTCACAGTGGGTTATGGTCCAATTAAAATCTGTCTGTTGGAGATTGTCGTCACAAGATTGATGACGTATTGAGTGAAAGATGTTCACGAATGTAGAGCGAAATCGACATTTACAATAATTACAGACTGATAATGAACGAATAACAGCATCGAAATATATATATATTCTTCAGTCAAAGCGCAGTAATTTTGGTTCTTTCCAAATGCATGTTATAGTAAACTAATGGTTAACTTTATACAAAAACCAATAAATGCCATTACATAAAAATATCGATATTAAAATTTCAATTATGAATTTTGAAACATTTAGATCTAGATGAATAATAGACCGACTTCTGAACCAAGAGGACACCTGTTTGGAATCTATAAAACCTTACTCAAGTGTTGGGAAGGTGTTGATCTCAATTACATTGTAACTGTAATGAATCCTATCACAAATTTTCTCCCATAGGATTTTAATGGAAGCAATTCAAGACACAAAGTTCATGACGCTACCATTGTCGCTCTTCAGACTCTTTCGTCTATTGGCGATCAAAAGCTTCTGTCATTTTAAAATTGGAGTATGTTGGATAATGGCAGAAATTTTATCGTGAAGCAGGTAACCAACGGACCCTTCATTGAGTTGTTCTTTAACAAACATAGAGCGTGCCATCCATCCTACACGAGACATCGGACTCAACGTCCACATTCCGACCGAACGTGGCTGCGTATTTATACATTCCGCGAAGCAAACATGACGCCCGATTATAACAAGTGTTTTTTAGTTTCGGACTGGAGGGAATATATTTGTTTAACCAAGTCACCAATTGTGTTGATTTAATCTGATGAATAATTACTGTAAGACGTACAAATCCTTAGGAATACATCTTTTTTTCACTTGATGAAATATAATGAATTTAACGCGCAATGTTTATGATTTCTTTGAACATATTCTTTCTTCTATAACAATCTACAAGGATTGTTCTATGTACACGTATTTGCCCGTATTATATGAACATTAAGATTAACTGATTGTTATTTGCTTAAAAGCGAAGTGCCAATTATTTCGTGCATATTCAGAACTTAGGCAAATTAACAATTTATACCATACAAACGTCATGCAAGACAGATCGAACCGGATGAAGGGACGAAAGTTATGGCTACCACTGGAAAATGAGGGTATGTTGAATAGGGGCAAACATTTTGCAGACCAGAGAGTTATTGTTGCAAGGGTTCTCTGTACAGAAAACGTGACACTCGCCATACATAGAGCATTGGATTCAATGTCTGACCGGACGTCCCGCACAGCCAAACAGACGCCCTTCTTGAGCAAAAGTTTTATTTCTGGATGGAAGAGGTCTATCTCGAGATTACCCAAGTCAACCAATGAGGTCTGAACATAAAGAAAAATAATGAAAGTGATAGCATATGATAGTTATTCAATTGAATTACTATAATTTCAAGAATGCAAGTTTGAGCCATGCTGTTATTTTGCTCCTAAGTTTTTGACAAGAAATTATTACTTTTTCTCATAAACATGTGTTAAGTCTTTTGAACACGGTTTATGTAAGGTATCGCAGATTTGCATTTTATGAATTTATAGTTAAACATAACGACCATTAAAAACACAAATAATTTCCTTTCCATTTTTGTCAACTGGTTTGTAATATAAAATTAATCATTAATCCTTCTTGATTTGTTTCCATTGTAACAAACGATGATTATAAGTTCAATTGAATTTTGTCCGTTTATTGTTGACAGATGTCGAGCCTAAACTTGATATCACTTATGTTTAGTTGTCATAGTACTGTTGGGATTTCGACATATCTTTTCGATTAGATTGTCAACTAAATGTTTAGCATTTCCAGTTGTTGATGAAAATACATCAAAATAAATCTAGTATGATAATAAATAAAATGTTTCAGTATCCGATGGTCAAAGCATCTCACCGAAAAATGTGCTGTACGAAATCGTTTATACAACCATGATAGCATGTCTTAATTATAAGTATGGACATACTATTTTACCTGTAACTACCTAAAACTGATCTTTGAACTGATTAATTAAGGTCATCCTGTGCATGGATATTTATTCTCTTTACACATTAAAGTCATATGGAACGAGTTTCTTGTTATTATAATGTTAAGGAAATTATTGAACCAATACATGCATATAATTAAACTAAGTCATGTTTTTTTATTTTACATTTATGGAGAATCCATAACGTATTGATCGACAAGACATATTTCAATCAGTGATAATTTTTGATCGAAAACTTTAGCAGCTAATAAACTTTCGGGTTTGGTTGCCGAAGTTTACCGATCGTGTACTTGATAAACCATCAACACAGAATCATGGAGCACATGAAGTGAATTGATAGAGCGATGGTCATTTCATTCTATGCGTTAACATTTGTTGTTTTAACTTAGTCATAACAGCTGTTAAATAATTTGGCGTATTAATAAATTCCTTTCGGAATCAATTAACACTATCTACCTTCCAGTGCACGTTTGTTTACCTATTCTTTCATCACGGTTTTCCCTCGCGCTTGCGCCGTGCGGTTGCCGAAGTTCTAACGAAAGGTCTCATGGTTAAGATCATTTCATACGGAAACGCTATCGGCGAATTACGGGAAGATAATAATCAATA